CCCGACCCCCTGGCCCTAAGTACTACGACTTCAGGAGGCCATATCTTCGCCGTTTCTTAACGGAATCGGGCGTTTAAAAGCTCATTGGAACCAGGAAGCTCTTAATAACGTCCCCAAAAGGTCGATTTAGCCAATTACGTAATTCCCACTCCAGAAATGTCAAATAAGCCTAACCCCCAAGCAGCCACGTCACAGGCGGGGCGGAGCATGGTCCCCGTCCGCCTCCGCCGCGCGCCATGCCGCCTCCCGCTCCCTTGTCCACAAAAACGGGTCATCCAGAACCCGCTCACGAATGGCCTGATCGAGGGCGAACGCCCACCTCCGGGTGGGCACCACGGCGACAAAAAACACTCGAAGGTGGAGGCGCAGCGGCCCCCCCGTGCGGGTGAGGCGCCACTTGGTGCTGACCGGCCATGCCATCTCCATCCAAGGCTCAGGAAGCCCATCCCCGCTCGCTCGAGTCCATGGAAATGGGGCGCCAATGTCGCCCGCCACAACCACTCTCAAAGCGTGCTGTTTCTCCTTCGACCAGCCTCCCGGTCGCGGCTCCCATTCAGGTCGCAACGGGGCCGAAGAGGAGCCTCCCGCCTCCGCGCATGGATGGATGGACGCATCCATTTTTCGGCGAGGTCGGTCCGAGCGTTCCGCAAGCTTGGTGCGGACCTCCTGGTTGGCCCTGCACCGACAGAATGCTCCGAACGCCGTGTTGCTCTCGACTCGGCCGGGCGGAACGGCCACCCCTCGCGGGCCCTAGGGGCCAGGCCTCCAACGCCCGTACGGAGGCATTCGGTGAATTCCCAGGTCACACCCGACCTGGAAATTGTCCGACGTATGGTAGATCTCCACTATTGATTGTATCTTTCACTTCCCATATAAGAATATGTCTGACATGGTGTTTGTTGACTACCCTTCCGTCCAATCCCACTTCCCACGATGGGGACGCACTGCCCCTTGAATCTGTACATGTTCCCAACATGTTTTTTCTTTCAGTTCATTGTGAATTTTCCCAATCCAAGGTCCAAGGGGACCATGGACTTTTCGAGGCCAACGGCCTGATGAACTGCTGCCCCTTTTTGACGCTCATATACGCTAAAATGTATAGTATCAACGGCCCCAACTGACATGAAAAGGTGCCGTGTTCTGGATACAATCCCGCTCAACATGCCTCCCAATACACCTCACACTTTGAACAGCACTGCCCAAACAATCCAAGGAATGCTCCTTGACGGCCTGCCGACCCCTTCACACGTTTACCCCTATTCAACAGTGGCAGGTCCGCTGTTCATACCACCAAATACATAAGAACTTCTTACCATCAATCACCAGCCAGCGGCGTCCCCAAAATGACATCTAATTCAATGACAAGGCAGCCAGCGTCACAGCCATATTCCGGCCCATAACTTCCCCAATTCTTATCCAAATCAGTCCCCGTTTTTTTCATTAAACTCCGACTGATTAGCTGCATATGCTGACAGGATTTTGGCAGCATTACGCCCATATTCCTAGCCAGCTTTTTACCTAAAACTATGTCCCGACTGTCTGCCATTTCTGCAGCAAAGCATGCTATTTTCTGGCCAAATTTTGACAGCGTTTCCCCCACTTTTAGGGTTTTCACAACTCTGGCGGTTTTGTAAATGCCCCACTTAATCGGGCAAGTGGTGCAAACCCTGTTTCTGCCTCAATATCTCGCTTGCAAATTGATTTGGCCAGTGCCTTGAATTATAGCTGCATATTCCAACCCTTAGAAATGTGTCTTTCATTTTGTTTTTTTGTATGACGCCTCCTACATGCCTTGCCACTTTCTTAGACCGAAGCAGGTCTATCAGCGTGCTTTCCTCGCTTTCTAGCAACGCTGTGCGGCTGTCCATGTCAATGCTGACTGGTCTATGGTGTTGTGACACCCAGTCAGTCGCCATGTGCTAGTCATGAGCCAGTCATTGGGTGACATGGCTTCATGACTAACGGCGAATTTAACAACTCAAACTTTTTAATATTCTAGGTTGTGAAATGCAGCTTAAATGAGTTGTGTTTGGAACCTATCTAGCAGTATTAGTAGGGAAAACAATACAAACAATAGTATTTAATCATAGGACATTTTTATTCATCTCTGCCAGCTGGCTCAGCCATTAAACAAAATGGCTAGGCAGCGCCATCAACATGGAATTCCACACATAACATGTCATAACACACCTTTGGGCAAAAGGTTGAAAATGCGTCAAGCGCTATGCGACCTGGGTGCCCAATTGCCACCAGCCGTGGTGCGGCACCAATACGCTGGTGACTCCCGTTTCGATCACCGGATGCATGACGCACGTGGTGATACGCATGCATATGCGCGTTTGCATCATGCTTCGTGCACAGGTCTGAAGTCATTCACACAGGGGACCACCACCGCTCGCAAGCGCACGAGCGAACTGTTGGCCATGCTGCCGTCTTTGCGAGGACCTGTGCCCCGCGCTGCGCGACCCGTTGGCGCTTCTCTGCCTTTGGGCCTTGCCGGTGGAAGACTGCTGTCGCTACGGGGGCACCTCGGACGCTCCACGACCAGCAGCAGGCCTGCGTCGGATTGGGCGAGGATGGCCACGAACGGGGACTTTGGCCAAGAGGTGGCTGTTTCAACGTCGGAGATGGCCTGGCAGTCGAGCCCCAGCCCGGGCGTCCACCGCAAGCGTGTGTACCACGACGGCCCCGCCGAGGCTGGCAAGGTGACATCCGTCGTGCGCTACGACGCCGGCTCGACGTTCCCCGTGCACTACCACCCCGACGGGGAGGAGATCCTGGTGTTGGAGGGCGTTTTTTCGGACGAGAGCGGCGACTATCCGAAGGGCACGTTCCTCCTCAACCCCGAGGGCTTCCGCCACGCGCCGTTCTCCCACCCTGGCTGCGTGCTGTTCGTCAAACTCCGCCAATTTCCGGGCCTGGACAGGCAGCACGTCGTGCTGCAGACGAAGGACATGGAATGGGTCGCGGGGTGCGCGGAGGGGGTCGAGGCGAAGATGCTGTACGAGCAAGAGGGGTATCCGGAGGGCATATGGCTGGAGAAGTGGGCCCCGGGGTCAGAGGTGGATCGAGGCTTCGAGCATGGGGCGGAGCTTTTTGTGGTGGAGGGAGATGTTGAGGGAGACGGCGGCAGCCTGGGGAAGGGCGCCTGGCTGAGGTTCCCCGTGGGCAGCAGGGCATCCTTGCGAACTGTGGGCGGCTGCGAGGTGTACCTCAGGACGGGGGGTCATGGTTTCAACTGACGAAGACGATGGACTTGTTGACGGGCGTCACGGTTCGACGGTCATTGTCTGGAAAGGGATGGTTTGTAGAAACAGAAAGCAGGCAGGCTGTTGGCTTTCCCAAACGGTGCAAAAGTATTTCCGGCAGCGAAGAGTGTACGACGGCTGTTTCTGAGAGGGGTTGCCAACTCGCCATTTCCTGCGTCTTGCTGTTGTAACTGGAACTGATTGAGTATCGCTAACAACTGAACGCATAAAACTATGACGAGGCGTTAGGAACTGCATTGAGGACAATGATGAACGGACTGGATATATAAGGGACGGAGCTCCTGTTGACCATTTGCTCAGCTGTAAAACCGTTGCCGTGAACTCGAACCTACAGTCCCCGTTCAGGGGTCGTCAACCCTGGATCCTGCCTGCCATCGACATTACCACCAAAGGCAGCAAGAAAATTGTGCATACACATCGAATGTGTATACATGTATATGTGCATCTATGCACCCAATTTGTTTCTAATGTCAGATCAGATGCTTGAGCAAAAAGAACAAAAGTGACTCCTTCTATTGCCACACTCTGCATCACCACAGCCCAAAGGATGAGGTTACTGACTTGCATGTTAGAGCGGTTTTGGTCCTCCAAATCGGAGCAAGGACAAACGGTAAACTTCAGGCTGGGGTTTCACAGAACCAATGAAATGTCAGCTGGCAGCTCTCACATTAAACGCACATACATTTGCACCTTGCCTTGGGTGTTGTGCTGGACTTTCGCGCACCTGTTGTCTGATATTCGCCTCCACGATGTGTCTGATTCCTGTAGGACCAAGATGCTTGTGAGAAGTGACATGGTATTTAACACAAGAGCTCTGGGCAATACAAGGGCGGTGACACACTCGTCTTGCAATATGTGGTAGCCTCACGTGTTGCTATATTTGTTTCAGCGCGATAAGTTACTGAAGTACCCCACTCGTGCCTCAGCCCTCCCAAACTATGCCTGCCATTGGCCAGGGCTGGCTGCTGCCATCTGGCGCTGGTCCTGCAACACAACCTTCAGCAGGATGGAATGGACACCTTCATTCCAATCCTCAAGGTCACCCAACACGTGCTTCTGCTCCTGCGGCTGGTCAAGGTTGGTGCGGAACAAAATAGATTATGGGGCGACGCTGGTTTGGCACACAGTGGAAGAGTGAGCACCATGAAAATTTTCCGGAATGCAGATATGACAAATTCACGGTACGCATTATTGCATTTTATTGCAGGCGGCGCTATAAAGTACGCCCTGCAAGCATTAACAGGGCACCGTAGCTCATGGTACCAGTGCAACGTCTTATCGTGCACAAGGCTGCGCACAAGAGCGCCAAGCGACACAAGGACGCTACGACAAGTTAGCACCCAAGCTGACTGAAGGTCTCTAAGCTGTGGACCAAATGAGCAATAGGAGCGCAACGCAGCAACAGCCTATCCGACACAACAAAAAGTAGAGAACGATTGGAACGACGACTCCATTGGAAGCAACACGTTGGAGGATTGAGAACTGTGTCATAGCACAGCATTTCTTCGAAGCCAAGCCATATAAGCAGCACATACCATGCTGAGCAACAGCTATACCACCAGAGACCAAGTGACCTGTCGTCTTAACTCTTCTTCCCCTCCCCTCCTTTGAATTTCGAATAGAGAGCAAAAATATAGCTGATGAAGGCCCCATTCCTGGGAACATATCACTACAACTGTTAGGTCCTGAATTCGCTAATCTCTATTCTTGGCGCAACATATGGGTAGCACCTCATCTAGCAGTGCTTTGGAAGGCCTCAAACTGGTCATCCCTTGCTGGCTCAGCACCATTGCCAGTCGCTCCCTCTGTAGTATCACGCCTCCCACCCCCATCATTGCAACGGGCTGTATCTCGATCTTCTAGTTCTTGAAGCACAGATACAAGCCACTCGACAGCAGCAACATCTGACCATGGGGCCCCAAAGGGTGCTGTTGCTTGGACCCACCCAAGGTGTCCACCTGTAGGGGTCAAGACGAGTGTGCAATTGGTGTTGGCTTTAAGTTGATCATAAGGAATGGCTTCCTTGACAGCTATTGGATCATCGAGTGCTTGGAGGCAAAGGAATGGGACTTGGATTCCAGAAATCTTGTTGCAGCTCCCAGATGCTCTGTAGTATGCATCCACGCTAGGCCAACCTTGCACATTCCACAGACATCTCACAAAGCGATCCAGGCATGTCAATGCACATCGCGTCCGTATGGATCTTCAGGTGTTGCTTCTAGTCCTGTTGCGTGCTGAACAATAATTTCTTTTTGACATTGAATGCTGTAGAATGCTGCAAGCAGAAAGGGACACTGCCAAACTTGGGCCACTGACATGCAGCACAAGCTCATTGCAGGCTTGAGAATTAATGGCCTCCATTTTCCATCATGTTCAAGTCCAAATCTTTGCAACACTCTGGTCCACTATGCCAGCTTTAATGCAGCCTTGACTGAAGAAGGAATACAGGAAATAGGTAAGAAAACACCAACAAAAGGACAACCACAGGTGCTCTGAGGTAGTGAAGTAATGCACTCTGGTGTGTCTCTGCAACCCCCAACTGCCTCAAGCAACAATGAGACTCTATGCAAATGGATCTCTTGCCGGTAGGGGCTCACACCCACATTTTGCCACGATCTATGATAACCGGACTGACCAAAACAGTGTTGCAACACGGCGGCAGATTACTTCCCTCAATGTCAACATAATGCAGGATAGTCCTGGTTCTGCCAAGTGCATGCAACAACTTGACGCCACTCCAAGCATCAGATGCGGAGGCAGGAAAATGGAGCGAAACCGCACCCCTGACAAGAACGGTCCATCATGAAAGACTGAACCTAATCAGAGGCAGCAGTTTCTACAAATCAAAAGTGCATGTACCTAATGACAGTCAGCAACGCTGGAAGTGAGGAAGGTTAGAGCACATTTCAGGAGTGCTGCAAGTGGGACATGCAAACGGAGTGCTGGTTGGGATCGACAGACAACAGTAATATTGTTGACATGTCTTTGGACAGGTTCAATAGGGCAGGCTGAACACGTTCAATATGCTTGAACACGTTACAGGCATGGACAGAAATGAACATGGTTTTCATGTTTAGGTTTCGAAACAAAAGCTCAATGAAATGTGAATATCACGCTTGTATTCCTGCTTTCAACATTCAAACGTATTGCACACGTTCATGTCTCCATGCCGAACATGTGAACGTGCAGAGTGTTTATGTTTGTGTGTTGAAAGTCCAGACGTTCCACAGTCTTTTACGTTCATTTCGTTCATTACGTTCGTTTCGTTCATTACGTTCATGCTTTGGAAGTCAGTCGTAACTTGCGGCAGAAGGTCGCTTTTCTTTTGCTTACAAAGCCCAAATGTTTGCTGATGCCTCACACTTCAGGGCATGTTTCTTTATATTCTTGGCCAACAAGTGTCAGATTTTGACACATCTGGCTTTGCAATGTGATCAGCTTGGCGGTACTGCGATGCTGCCCACCCAACGACCTCATAGTCGGCCAGTCTGACCCTCTTGGTTGCCACAGCCCTCTCCGGCGACTGCCTCCAGACTGTCCAACCCAGAACACGCTCAAGATCATGCCCGCTCTCCGGGGCCGTCTGCCATTTCCTTGCACTGCTCCACCTCTGATGCTCGATGGTGATCTTGACAAGTTGCCACACTTCCTGAATATTGGGGTGATGTGTGCGACCTCTTGTAGCCATCTGTTTGTGGTTTCGTCCAACTGTGCCATTACTAAGCCCATAGTGCCCTGTACCACTATGAGCATTTCGGCTGTCTTGTTTTTTAGCACACTACTTCGAGAACGTTCTTGTTTATGTTCTGAAACCCCAAACGTGCTGAAGTTCGTGCTTTGGAAGCCAAACGTTTTGCACACGTTCAAATTTCCGCTTCTGGAAAAGAAGCCTATTTTCATGGTTCCATTTACAAGCCCAAGCATGACGCACATGTTCGCGTTTCTGTCCCGTAGACCAAACATGATGCACATTTTTACATTCCAATTTGAGTGGCCTCCGCCCATGACTGGCGTGTTAATTTTACCATATTTGCCTGCTTCCTGGTTCAGGAAACTCGCAACATTTGGACCTGCTGATAGGGACCATGGGAGTGGAAGAATATATAAGTACAATTGCATTGTGGTCAGCACATCACTGGCGAAACACACTGTAGGAAACAGCAACAAACACAAAGAACACAAAAAAACGGATCCGGCAATTTAAGCACTTACCAAATGAAACGCGGGTGATGGCATCGTCGAAATCCCGGACAGTCTGAGCATTCAGCGCTGCTTGTATTCGGTGCTCCTCTGCGTGTCCTCTGAAGAGGGCAACATGTGGCTGAAACAGCTTGCGCATCGCCAAGCCTGTCCATCCACAGCCAATCAGTAAAACAGATTTTTGACACTGTTCGCTGCAATCCAAGCTATCCCCAGCCCCTCACTTACCAAGGTTCCTGTCATACAGTCTTGCCACGCCAATCTTGAGAGCCTTGTCTGAGATCACCAGATTAAAAGGATTCACAAGCGACACAGCTGCTTTGATTGGGCTCTGTTGGCCCTCCTCCCCAAGGTAATTCAAAAGAATGTTGGCACCCAGTGACCACCCCATCGCCAAAAGGGGCACACCAGGTTGCGTTTTTTGAAGATAGGCCACCACCGCCCTGCACAAGAAGTAAAGCATTGTTCAACCACTTTGAAACGCATAGGCTGGACAGCTGAACTGGAGATATCCAACCATGCACAATCTGAGTTTGCTTCCAACAGCCAACTTGAAACAGGGCTTCAACATTACCTGAGGTCCATGGTGTATGATGCAGAATAAAATTGAGGTGTCGTTACTGGGCCACCTGCTGTTCCTCTACAATTGAACACCACTGATCTCATACCCATGCTGCCCGCAGTCTGCATCGCATATTGGACTGAGGAGCACAGCAACAACACTCAGCTGTGCAGAGACATTTGGAAGTGCTCCAGAAAGGTCATGGCCTGAAAGCTGTGTATACAATTGTATCGCACATGAAAAGAGAAAATCCAGCAGCAAAGATGCTGTTGTACCAGCAGTGCACAACATGCCCATACATACATTTGCTTGAGTACATCGTCATGCCTCTGGGGAAGTTTGCAGTGAGTGCTATTGCCCACTCAGAGATTCATTAGTGTTGGTATAAAACTCCTTGCTGGAGGACTTGGTACCTCCAACATGCAGCAGTAACTAGGCGAGTGGCAATCCATCGCTGCCACTGCAAGAAGGTTGAACACCATGTGCTCCTGCACACCTTCACTCTGCTGAATGCCTGTTGAGTTCACAGTGTGGACAGCCATTGATAGTCCAACATTTTCAGCCAGAGTGATCGGGGCATCGCTGATATGCACACACTCAGCAATCTGCAGCTGAAGAGTTCGGATCAGAGTATGGACCATTGAGCTGGAGCCAAGCGTCATCTGTGTGTGCTCGATTTCTGCCAACCTCAAGGGATTCACAATCAGCACCATTGATCAACACTGAAGAGCATGCTGCGAGCAGAAATTAACCCTGGCAAAAGTTTATTGCAAACTGCTTCTTGTCAGCGTTCCCAGGTGCGAATTTGATTGAAGTGGCATTCTCAGTCCGTGGGAAATGGACAGTTGCTTGGCCGTCCAACCAAGGTGGATTTGTATGCAGCACAGCAAAGCATACAGTGAGTCTATTTCCGGCACGCCTCTGGCAGCCCTGAACATACCATATGTGCCTTCACTGCCGCCAGCCAAGCCCGCTACCAGAATGACGATTGGGGCGTCTGTGGGGACGTCCTGCACAAGCATGCAGCACGCGTGGGGTAAAACGGGGTTGGATGGACTCAAGGGAAGGTGCAACAAAAAATCGCGATACAAGGCAGGTGAGACGCACATCCAACTGAGCATCGCCCTGGGCGAATTTTGAAAGTCGTTGTTGAGGCGCCCTGGATGCGTGGCGCCAGCGGGACGTGTGCGTCCGTGCCTGCGGTGTGTGGCGCTGCCAGTCCAGTGAGACGACACCTCCGTCGTCAAGGCGCAGTATCTCCCTCCGCAGAGCCAACCGAGGGTGTCTGCGCAGCCAGGCCCCCCATATCGTCTCCGCGTGGCCGTTGAAACACAGGAAGAAGCGCCGGCACTCGCTCAGGAGCGCCGAACACCGGGAGAGCACGGAGAGGTTGAATTGCCCCTCCGTCCGTATATCAGCCTTCATCAAGGCCGCCCGCCACGTCGCACAGCCGATCACCGCTCCCCCAACCGCCGCTGCAGCGGCACCCGCGGCAGCGCACTGAGCTATCGCGCTGGACGCCACCGTGCAGCTCGTCCGCCGCTGCCCGGACTTTCGGCACTTAAAGTGCCCAGCTAGGAGCTGTCCGCGGGCGTGAGACACGCAATCCTGGACCGACTGGCGCCCCGCACACGGGGGAAGGCGGTGCATGGACCACTGCGGTGCCGCGACAAGCCCTGGGCGAGGCCATCAGTTGTTGGGCTGGGTGTGCCGGCTAACTTGAGCGCCAGCCACAGAAGTACACGGAGTCAGCCATACAATGTCGGGCTTGGCCTCAACGGACAGAACGCTCCTGTTCGAGCAGATGGGATCCATTACGGCATACGTTAAATCCGACCCGACCTTTCGCAGTTACGTTCGCGGCGCCCGCATAAAGGATGGTTACGTTTAGTAAGCTAGTTTACGGGAGGCCCGAAGATGGACGGGCGAAAAAATTGCCGCCCTGCCTGTGTCCTGTCAGCAGGGCGCCCAGTTTGGGCGGGAACAGTATGGTTCGGGGGGGCAAGGGGGGCAACGGTCCTTGGGGCCGGTCTTTGCTTGACCGGGGACTGTTACCGGCGGCGACGAGGCCTTAGGAGGAGATCCGCCGTCACGCTGCACTTTGTTTTCTCGCTCCAACCGCTCTTGGTTGCAGCGAGCCCGGTCCCAATCGGGAACATTGCTTCGATCCTTCGAAAGGATCTGTTGCGCCGAGCCTCCGGCTCGTGTTCTGCACCCCTTCGGAGCTCTCCGGCTATCGCCTCGCTCCCCCATGCCCGAGGAGCCCACCCTCAACCCCGAGGCTTTGGTGGCGGCGCTCCAAGCTCTCCTTACTCGGTCCGCCGGGGCCTCCTCTTTGGCCCCCGCGGAACCCCAGACGGCTGAGGCGATCGCGGCCGTGGCCGCCGAAGACTCGTCCCGTCTTCTTGCGGCTTTGGCCCAACACTTCGGGGCCCCGCAAGATCTCCCGCTCTCTCAGCTCTTGGTCCTCCGCTCGGGCGCCAACATCGACCCCTCTCCGCGGCATCCGGTGCCTCGGCCCCCCGCGGAGTTCGGCCAGTGGTTCGACGTCCTTGACACCGCCGGCGGTCAATATTTGGCCCAAGCCTTGGGCCTCCGATCGGGTTACTTCGTGGAGTACACCAATTGGGCGCCGATCGTCTCCTTTTACTACGATTTGCAGCTCCACCTCATCGCCTTGGCGGCGTGTCCGGAGGTCCCCGCCGCCGTCCGCACGGCCCTCAAGCCCCTCGTCTCCCTATATGCCAAGTGCACCAACCTAGCTGTCTCTAACTTGGAGGTTCGGCGGACGCAAGCTGCCCACGCGAATACACACCTCTCCAAGGCGTACAAGTCGCTCCAAACCAATATTCAGTTGGCGGGATCGGCGGCCCGCTACACCACTGACCTCGAGCGCGAGACAACCAACCTGATCCGTGCCCAGATCCAGAAGGCTACGGTCAAGGCGCAGGCGGACGGTGCCGCCCGGGCCCGCCATTCAAGCCACGGTTCCGACCACTTCGGCTCCCGTTCGGACGGGGCCTTGGGGTCCAGCCCCCGTGGTCACTCACGCGGCCACAGTTACGGTTCCGGTCGGGGCCGGGGTCCGTCCCTGCCTTGGGCAACCCCTTCTCCGATTCATGAGCTCCGAGCAGGAGCTCTTTGCCATCGCCGCGGCCTTGCACCAGTTGCGTGTTGGCGGCGGTAATGCCCCCCGGCCACGATCTTGCCCCCCTGAGGGGGGCCCTACGACCGGGGGCTCCGCCCCCCCGCCCCCCCTCAGGGAATGGGGCACTTCATCTTCAACCTCGTCGGGCGATCGGTGCTTGGCGCCAACTGGGTGCCTCCTCCCTCGTCCTTCGTTGGATCCGAGAGGGTGTCCCGGTTGTTTGGTCGGGTCATCCACCGGCCCCGTTCCATCATGGGGTGTGCCGGCTTGCGGGGCCTGCGTTCACAGCGTGGGAGGCGCTGCGTGTACCGCACTAACCGGTACCCGGGGGTATCGACAACCCCCTACGGTAACCGGCCCAGTAGGGCTACGGTTACGTTAGTGTAGGGGTTAGAGTTGCTATACCGGCACTAGGGCGATGGCCACCGGTACCTGGGGTACCACAGGGTACCGGCGCTCGGGTGTGGCCCCAAGTACGTAGTACTTGGGGTCCGGTGCTGGGTCCCGGCTTAATGGCCTTCGAGCGCCCGTACTGGCAGGCTTCTCTCACCCCCTGTTGCGCGCTGCCGCGCAACATATGGTTTCGGAGCCGGGTTCCCGCGAACCCGGCGATCTTTTTCAGCCCCACCCCTCCCTCGCGGTGCGGCCCCTCCCCCTCCGTTGCTGGGCCGTGCCGCCTCCCTTCGATCGCCGGCGTCGCCGAATCCCGGCCATTTTTCGGCCACCCCATCGCCATGTCCGAGGAGGCAATTTCCGGCCAGATCATCGGCGGCGACGGGGACGATCGGCCGCTCCCGGCCGTTTCTGCGGCGCCGCCGGCGGGCGTGGTCTCTACGCAGCCGATTGCCACGCCCCTCCAGGCCCATTCGGCCGAGGGGGGCACGATTTTCGAATCGGCTGGAGGCGACCTGCCCCCCACCTCCTTCCATTACCGGGCGAGTACACCCCTGCCGGTGCGCCCGCTTGCTGGGGCACCCGATGCTTTGTCTCGCAGCCCAAACCGGCCCCCGCGCCCCACTGCTTTGGGGCCCCCTGCTCTGCCTGATGCCCGTGCTTTGGCGGGCCAACTCCTCCCTTTCTTGGAGGAGCATCTCCGCCATCTGTTGGCGGGAATGGGCTCCTCCCGCAGCCCTCCCTCCTTGCCGCCTGCTGGCTCGATCGCGGCCACCACCCCCCCAGCCTCCCTACCGCTGTTTTCGGTGGCTGCTGTGGGCTCCATCTCAGGGCCAGGAATCGCAATTCTGGCCACCGTAATGGCCTCTGTGGCGACCGCCCCTCTGGCCCCCCCCCGCCTTGGGCTTGGCGGCGTCTTCCGGCCTTGGGGATCTGCTGGCTTCCCAGTTTGGCTCCTTGTTGTTTCCTGCTTCGGGATCCCGGGGAGAGGCTCTGGCTGTGCCCCCCCTAGCAGTTCTGCCGCAGGTTGCCCCCCCCTCTCTTGGATCGGCGTCCACCGACGAGCTCTCTCGTCAGGTGGTGTTCCTTCAGGGCCAGCTGTCCGCCCTGGAGGCCTACCCTCGCGGGCCCGCTGCTGGTACCTCCAGATCCCCTCCTCTGCCTCGGGGGTTTTCTTCGCTCCCGACCTTCTCTGGCGATCCCAAGGGCGATTGGTGGGACCAGTTTCTGGTCCACTTCGATGCCCACTGCCGCCTCTGCCACCGCGACCAGGACGATGCCTACCGCATCAACCTGCTCCCGGTCCTTCTCAAGGGGGCAGCTGCGGCCCACTGGCGCCTGCATCTGCAGGCCAATCCCGCGCCCTCTACCTGGGAGGAGGCCCAGGCCATTATGCGGTGTGGTCCCTTCGCGCGTCCCCCCACCCTGCTCGGGCTCACCCTCCAGATCCAGGAGTTGGCGGCCCGGCCCCCTGCCACCGTCTTCGAGTTTCTCACCCGAATGGATATGCTCTTCGGTGAGCGGGGTGCCGCGGGGGCTGCTGTTCCCGAGATCGACCGGATCTTTTGGGTTTACAGCGGCCTCCCTGAGCCACTCCGCGCGCGTTTGTTGGCTAACCCTGCGGGCCAGGCTTGGGGGGCCCAGTCGCACCAGCAGTTCCGGCAGCTGTTATGGTCGTTCATTCATCATGACCCTGCTCTGGGCCGGATTGCCAGTCGTTCTGCTGCTGTTCGTTCTTTGTCTGTGAGTGATCGCCCAGGTGATCGATCCCTGACGGGGTGCAAGCGCCCCTTTGATGGCGCGGGGGCTTCCCGCCCTCCACTCCGCAGTCGCCGTGGCTCCGATCTCCCACCTGGGGATTTGGCTGAGGGTGTGCCCCTGGCGGGCCGCCTCCCCCATGCCCTCTGGCTAGCCACCTGCGCCCAGGGTCCACATGGCGCTTGCGTCTGGTGCTGGGAGGAGTACACCTAGCCCCGCCGGCAGAGCGACCGGCCTCATTGCGCCTTCCAGCGGGACCACCGTCGCCGCCTGCCCCCTCCGGACTGGCTGGTGAGTCTCCCTGCCTTTCCCCAGTGGTGCTCTCGGTTATCTGTCCCCCTTGGGCTTGTGGCACCTCTGTTGAGCACGGGCTTGCCTGCTGCTTCTCTCCCGCCTGCCTT